CCAGATCCAGGGACTCAGGCCTCCAGCTCCTGGAGTCTGGGAGTCAATCCCCAGCCCCCCAGAGAGCCCGTGTACTGCCCCCCTGCACCTCCTTCCCCCTCTCCAAAGATCTCTTCCCCTGCACCCTCGGTGTTTATGTCTTGAGCTTAATAAATGTGCATTTGGTTTTTCCCCCTGTTCTGTCTGTGTGTTCTCATCTGTGGGGACAAAAATGGGGGAGGGGCAAACCACACCTGGGGGTGCTCTTTCCCACGTCCCCAGAATCGTTCCCCTCCTTATCCTTCCCCTCCCCCAGTGGCCTCCTCCTCTCTCTCTGAGCCCCTCGAGTTTCCTTCCCTTCCCTACCAGTTACCCCTTTCTTCTCTTCCCCCAGAGACCTTAACAGACCCCTCCTCTTTCTCCCCCCACCCTATTCCCAAAGGAGCCCCACCCAACCAAGACCTGCCTGTCCTATTCCCCTCACCCAACCACCCCCTGGCTGGGTGGGTGGGGGTCACTGCCCTGCTTCTCACCCCTGCCCCCACCCATGACCCTTAGCGTCTCCCTCTTCCTGCTCCCACTCTGGGCTACGAAGCCAGGAAACCCAAGAGGAAATGACTGAGCCAGTCTGGGTTCCCGCCCGCCCGCCCCGCCGTTGCTCTGCTGGCCACACCCTCTGCTTGGATTCGGCTGCCGCAGCTGCCCTCTCTTCACGAGGCTGCCGGCTCGGACGTAAGTCTCTCCTCCGACCCTCCTCCACCCGCTCCCTTCTGTCCAGGGCCGGGGCCCAGGTGGGTAAAGACTGACCTTAACCGATCCTCTCCGCCCCCTTTCATGCTCACTTCTCCCGCCTGCTCGTGAGCTGCCCTGCTTCTCTCTTCCTCCTGCCTGGGTCTCCCCAACTCTCCTCCATCCCTCTCTGACCAGTCCCCCCCAGAGCTGCCCAGCATCCTGTTCTATTGTTCCTGCAGCGAGGCCCCCATACCACTCATTTTTTCCTCTGAGATCAGGAGCACATTACTCACTCTTCCTCTTTCCCCTCCTTGATGACTTCTTCTCGTGGGGGACAGCCCCAGAGGGAGGGGAGAGGCCTCAGGATCTACTCCTGCGCCCCAGCCGCCTCCCGGTGCCCGCAGGGTCAGTCCGGGAAGGATAGGTGCTCCTCTGCCTCGGGGGTGTCCGTGTGCTACTATTGGAAGCCCAGTTTGGTCTGATGTGTCTTATCTTCCTTGAAGACTCAGAGGGAAGAAGGGGGTGGCGACTGGGGACCTCTACTTCTGAGACTCTCCTGTCAGCCCTGGCAGAGTGTCTTTGAAACCAGAGGTACCTGCTCAGGGGAGGGAAGCGGGCAGAAGGGACCCCCAGGGTCTGTGCGGGGCCTGCCTCACTGACATCATGGCTGACCCCAGCTCCCGCTTGCCCCTTAGATGTCGCCCTCTGTTCACTTGTGCCTCGTCACCATTGTTGGCCTGATTCTCCCCACCAGAGGTAAGGCCCAGCCCTTGTCTCCATCCTGCCCCAGAGCCCCCACCCCCACCACGAGTGCTCTGCTGGGTGGGCAGCTGGTGAGTTTGGATGCCCAGTCCTGTGTCCTCACCCTCCTACTGAGCTGGCACCCGGAAGTGGGACCCCCAATGAGGGGGCCAGCGGTCTACCTTTTTTGGACACCTCAGACCTAGGTGGCCGCTTCCAAAGAGTCTGGCCAGAGCCTGTCCTGCTGAGCAGCCTCCATTTCACCTCCAAGAAGAACTCACTGAGTTTAATTTGGCGGGGAGATCGGTGTTGGTTTTCCACTTTGCAGCCAGGAACCCTGGGCTCCCAGCAGAGCAGATCCCTGGATCCCCTGGGCGATGCACAGTAAGGCAAAGGGAGTGCACGGGGACCAGTCCAAGAGCTGGAGATGTCTCCCCCTTGCCTGGGAAGTGCTTCCTGTAGGCAGTGACTGTGGTGGCATTGGCAGGTGTTTTCCACATGACAAGTGCCATGTGCGGGAGCTTGCTTCAGCTTCAGCTCTACTGTATTATACATATTGTCCTGCCTTTTTACAATGAGGAAACTGAGGCTCAGCAAAGGGAAATGCCTGTGCCAGAGGCTAGTGAGTGGAGGGGCTGGAATCTAATCATCTTGCCTGCCCCGGAACCCAGAGCGTACGCTCCACTGAGAAGTTCTCTTGAATAAAATATTTTTCATCTATTCCTTCAGTCATTCAACAGGTATTCACTGAGCAGCTGCTATGTGTCAGATGTTATTCTATGCATTGTGTAAACTGCAATGCATAAAGACAATAAATAACCCATCAGTAAATTATATAGTATACTAGAAGGTTATACATGTTATAGAGAAAAATAGAGAGGAATAAGGATTGTTTGACTAGGGTGGTCAGAGAAGGCTTCACGACAGGGTGACATGTGGGCAGACACTTGAAGGAGGTGAGAGAATTAGCCGAGCAGGTATCTGAGGGCTGAGTGCTGTCTGGTGAGTGGGAGGAACAGCAGGCAGGCTACATGGCTGGGTTGGGGTAAACAAGAGGCAGGGTGGGAAGAGAAGAGGTCAGAGAAGTGACAAGAGACCAGATGGTGGGGGGTGGGGTGGTAACTTAGGGGCAGCGTGAAGACTTTGGCTTTTACCAGGTGCAAGGTGCACTCAGGGGAGGCTCTGAGCCAGGAGGGCCATGATCTGCCTCAGGTGTTTATAGGCTCCCTCCTTTGCTGCCTGTAGGGAGTGTACTGTAGGGGCAGGGAAGGTAGTATAAGACTAAGGAGGAGCCTGCTGTGATGGTCCAGGAGGGAGATGATGGAGGCTGGGCCAGGGCGCACCATTTGCTGTATCCATCTGATTTCACTCTCTCTACGGCCCTGAAAAGTAGATTAAATTATCCCCACTTTGCAGTTGAGGCAACTGAAGCTCAGAATGGGGTTTTCACTTGCTCCAGGTCACACAGTGAGGAAGTCGTTGGGAACAGAATTTGAGATCGGGGCCCTGGCTGACTCTAACGCTGGGCTCACTAGGCTAAACTGTCTCTTCTATCCCACAAGGATGGGCAGGGAGAGGGGGCTGGAGGAAAAGTGCTGGGGCATCAGCGTTTCTTGAAACACTTCCAGGTTCATGGATTGATACCACCGAAGCTGATCAATCAAACAGTGGTCTGCTGTTCTACCAGCAGACAAGAACCCCTGAGTTACCCCCCAGATCTCAGAAGGGAGGGCAGGGTGGGGGTGTTGGTAAGAGGAAGACCAGAGGCTCCTCCCTGGCTTCTCATCCTTGATTTCTCAGGACAGACATTGGAGAAGACCACACCCATTTCTCTGGTGGACTCAGCCACTGTGAACACTGTGAACATTCGTGTCCCGACTGAGACATCAGGTGAGGGAAGAGGGATAGCTCTGTTAAGACTCTGTCACTGTAAATAAGAACAGCAATAAAAATTACAAGCTTGGACCAACCAGGAATTTTTGAATTCGTGTAAATGAAAAGTCCAGGGATAGACCTTTAGGTATGGCTCAATGTAGTTTCTCAACTGGTGATATCAGGAACCTGTCTCTATCTCTTGGTTCTGTTTTCTCCGTGTTGGCTTCATTCTCAGGAAGTTTGTTCTCTCATGGGACCGAGATGGTATCTGGAGACCTGGGGCTTCCATTCTACCTGCTAAGAATATGGAGGAAAGGGAATTTCCCCTTCCCCAATCCAGCATTTGCTGAACTGAGTGTCATTGATCAGGCTCAGGTCACTTGCTCACCCACGAGGTGATAATGTGGCCACAGGCACAGAAAGCTGATTGACCAGACCTGAGTCTCATGTTCAACCTCCATCAAGACTGAACCAAGAGTTCAGTGGGTCCCAGCCCCACTGAACCAAGTAGACCAAGAGTTAGGGAAGGATGGTTTCCCAAAGGAAGTTTGGGGGCTCTTACCAGAGGCAGGTGGATTCTGAGAAAGGGACTGGGTATCTGTGGGAGGGAAGGGCCTGAGGCAGGGGAGATACTGGCATCATATGTAGGCAGTGAGCAAATGGCTGGGTTAATTAAGTCAGTTCCATTACACCAAAGCTGAGTTGCTATGGAAATCCTGTTGTATCTCCATCCATGGACCTTCTCCAGATCTTCTCTCTCTTCTCTCCCTCCCTGTTTCTGGACTTCAGACACTGTTCGCCCAGAACTCCAGTCCACCCTTCAGACTTCAACCCTGCAGGCTGGTGGTAAGTGGGGCAGGTATGGGGGTGGGTTGTGGGGAAATGGGCCTGGGACAGACACTGTTCCTCCTCTTGCTCTGACACCCTGAATCCTTAGTTACCCATTTGAGCCCCCTAGCTCCGAATCCCCTGGTTTAATTTGTGGTGGGGCAGCTTGGACCAAATAAGAACTCTAGTCACTTCTTTAAAAAAATCTTTTGAAATTGTGGAAAATAATATGCATGTAGAAAAGTACAAAAACCATAAATGGACAACTTAGCAAATTATTCTAAATTGAACCCCTGTGTAACCACCACCAGGTCAAGGAATAGAGCTTTGCAAACATCCCGGAAACTCCCCATGTGCCAACCTCATTCATTTCTTCCTTTAATCTCTTTATCTTTTTTCTTTTTTAAATTTTAAAATCATTTTGAATTTTTTCTTGGAACTTAACATAATTCAAAAAGTGCTCTTCGTTATTTTTTCCATTCATGTTTAATGATGCAGTAGTACATAAACACATTCTCTTTGGAAATCATAAAAATGTGGTAGGTCAGATGAAATCCCTTTGTTCATTCCCCATCTTTCTCACCCCCATCTCTGTGAGGCCCCCACTGTTAGCATTGGGTCGGGGATGGTTCTGTAATGAGACTGTATCACGTGCGTGTGATCTGGAGAAAATACATTGACTGGGAGGTGTGATTGGGTCGGGGATGGTTCTGTAATGAGACTGTATCACGTGCATGTGATCTGGAGAAAATACATTGACTGGGAGGTGTATTTGTGTGAGCTTAAGGACATTATATGATTGTTATTCTGCAATCAGTTTTGTTTCCCCTGTGAAACGATGTTTGGAAGCTCTTCCCACATTTCTGTGAAAACACTGATCTTGTTCTTTTTCACTGCTGAGTGCTATTCCACAGTGTGCCCACGTACAGTTAATGAAGCCATGCACATCTTGATGATCACCTTGGCTGCTTCCAATTTTTTCTGCTAGACATAGTGCAACAATGAGCAACCTTCTCCCTTCCTCCTCCATCAAACAGTTACAGTGCTTTGTGTCGGTCATGGTTCTATATATTTTACCCTTGTTCACTCATTCAACCTTCACACAAAACAGATGAAGACATGGAAGCTCAGATTAACTCGCCCAAGGTGTCACAGCATGTCAGTGACATGGCCGAGATCAGGGTCCAGGACTCTGGCTCTAGAGCCCTGCTTTTACCCATAACACTATGGGGCCAAGGACATGAACACTGAAATTTGTTTTAAAAGCCGCTGGAGAAATGGCTGTACCGATCTGCCCTGCCACCAGCAGTGTGCGAGCCCCCCTTTACCACTCTCACAGCCCCACTTGGTATATGAATGTCTTGGGTTTGTGCCAGCCTGATGGGGGAGAGGGCACCTTGCTGTACTGTGGATGCACATGTTGCTGATTTACTCATTTCTTACCCTCCCCTCCTTGTTCTTCTGACCTCAGTAGAAACAACACAGACCCAGACAGAGACCCAGAAGCAGCAACCAACGGGAATGGATGTGCTTCTAATCACAGATCCGGGCACAGACAAGAGCAGCATGGAAGGTAGAGCCTGGCACTAGAACAGCAACATACAAGTTTTGTTTAATTCTCTATTTAGGTCAGCATTTCCCCAAGGATGCTTCTCAGAGCATCCGTTTGAGGAATTGTTAATATATTTTCCAACAAAATTTTTTTGGTTTGCGGCCAAAGGTCTTTGGGAAACTGAGATAAAGTTAAACGTCTCTTTTTTGGCAGGACTTCTCAGAGTCTTAATAAAGCTTATTTGCAGCAAATGTCTCTAAGAGGGTCAACTAGTTTGCAGCATTTTCTAAGCTTGATAGACCTTCTTTTGTTCACGTTCCTTCATGGGGCTGGTGCTGGGAAATGCAGCTGTGGGTGTTTCTTTTATGTATGTCTTCTTGTTAGAGCAGGAGATTTTCAGTTGCAAAATACAGAAAACCCAACTTAAAATAAAAAGACTTATTGGGTATACATATTCTGTAAAGTCCAGAGGTACCGCTTTCAGATCTGTTGTCTTCATTCTCAAGTGGACTTTCTCCTCTTGATGGCAAAAATAGTTCCGTAGTTCTAAGTTTAGATCACAAACTCAGCAGGTAGAGAGAGCTCTTTCTCATAATCTGTAGCCCAAGGTCTAGAATTGACTCTCATTGGCCCAACTGGGGTCACATGCCCATATCTGACCAATGGGAGCCTGGGAAATGGATAAGCTTGATTGGTCAGGCCTGAGTTTTGTGCTCCAACCCTGGGGCTGGAGAACAAGGTCCACCTGTCTGAACTGCATAGACCAAGAGTCAGGGAAGAGATGTATCCTCTCAAGACCAGGGAATAGCTAATGTTATCAGAGAAGTGGGAAAGGGGGCCGAGCCTAGATGAAGGCAACAGGTGGCTTCTAATGGTGTCTGTGTGATGATTCATTTGAGGAGCAGCCCCTACTGGAAAGTACTGTAGGTTGGGCCACTCCCAGGCTGACATACACACAGTGTGCAGACTGGGAACTGTGCAAGGTTGACACAAATCTAAGGCCATGCCATTTCCCATAACAGTTTTTATAATTGTTACAATTTTCCAGTGATGGCAGTAAATCATCTCATTCTGACAGAATCTGTCTATTAAGACAATTTTGCAACAGATAGACATAAAGTGTCTTGGGGAAGGAAATTTTTCTACGTTGCACAAAAGTGGGGACAGGGGTGTAGCCGCTCTGTCCACACTTTCCAATTGAGAAAACATCTTCATATCTCCGATTCACTTGCTCTGAGTCCTCGCTGACCAGAGTTATGTGTGTTGTTGCATATTCCTGGTTATATGTGACAGAAATTCAATAGGGCTGATGGGTCATGAAGCCAAGTGGTAAAAGGCATGGCTGAGCCTCAGGGCCCCCCAAAGCCTGAGCACAGAAGCCCTCATACCTCCCTTCCTCCATCTTTGTTTCTCTTGTGCTAGAACTTGTTCTCCACCATGAGAGGAAATGGCTCCTGTCATCCGCTAGCTCAGAGCTTCAAGAAACTTCATCAAGCTTCCACTAAGAATCCCTACTTGGATTTGAAAGGTCCCAGGGAAGGGCCAGACTTGGTTACATGCTCCCCCTTGTGGCCTGGGTCACAATAAGAGAAACAGAAGGGCTGGGGAGCTGTTCCCAGAATTAAGGAGAGTACCAAGTAGATGATAACAACAGCCAATATTTGCTGAGAGTTTGCTCTGTGCTGGGCATTGTGCTAAGCTTTCACGTATTCACTCACACAATGTTCACAACCGCCTTATGTGGTGGGAACTGTCGTAAACCCATTTTATAGGGAAGGGAGCTGCTGCTCAGAGAGTTTACTCTGCTGGCCCTAGGACACACAGCCCTGAGTGGCAGAATGGAATTTGAGCCCAGGCTCTCTCGCACCAGGGTGCCTGAGCACCACACACCACCTAGGCTGTCCTTTACATTTTCTGTAACCTCCTCCTCTGTCCATGTTGTTGATCTTGCTTATACCTCCCTCTGGGCATGACTTTCCAGAACATGTCAGAATCCTTGGCCATCAGTTCATGTTTAGGAGGTGAGGTGCTGAAATTGGCCTGGGGAGCTCAGGGTTCATGAGGCAGCTCTTTTGCCTGCTAGCTTCACATTGGGGCATCAGACAGTGGTAACCACTTCACTGGGGACACTTCTCAGTGCCAGAGGGGCAGGAGCATTGATTTTTTTTTAAGAGAGGAATCCTCTGGTATTTTTGGTCTGGGAGCAGAGGTGATATTCAGAATGTTTTATAACAGGTACCTCCAGGCTCTGTAACTGGAGGCCCCCTGCCTGGCCATGGCAGATGTTACCCTTTACTTCCTGGATCATGGGGTATTCCACAAGGTCCTAGGAGAGGGGCCAGGAGGTTGTGGCAACTGGTCTTAACCAGGGAGTCAGGCTTATTTCAATATTTCCATACCTGCCACTCGTAACTGCTTCCAGGGGTGGGAGTGGGGGACACTTGTGCCTGCCCACTGAATATGTAGGCATGGGAGAGGGGCTTTAATCCCAAATATAGACATTCAGTGATGCCCCTTGTTTTCCTCCATGGCTCACTCCTGCTCTCCTCCGTCTTCCGGCCGTTCTCTGCCGATCCGACTAAAAGCACCATGCTCTCCAAGCAGTCTCTAGGCAAAGACTTCATGATGGACCCTACTCTCAGGCTGACTAGTCAGTAACTCCCTTCCCAGACTGGAAATAGTCTATCTCCTATTCACCGTGTATTTCCAGTGCAGACTACTCCTCGGTAAACATATGTGGGGTGAATATATGACTTCGAGGCTGGCAGATGGTGGGCATGGGGTAGACATGCAATAAAAACCTGAATAGATTAATGAATGCTGCATGCAAACCACCTAAAAACATTTCAATGACTTAAAATGACAACCATTTATTTAGTTCCTGAGAACTAAACTTGAATCTGCAATTGGGAAGTCTGGCCTGGGTTTAGCTGCGTTGTTCTTCTGGTCTCATCTGGACTTACTCATGCATCTGAGATCAGTTTGGGGATCAACAGGGAGCTCTGTTTCTAGGGGCACCATGGTTCTTCCCCTCGTGGTTCTGTCTTCCACTTCCTGCCTAGCCAACCCTAATGAACGGATGAGAATAATACGCCCATAGATCACACAGTCTATTCATTCATTCGTTCATTCAAAAAATATTCATTGAGCACTTACCTATGTGCCAGCCACTATTCAAATGCCAGGGATACAGCAGTGAACAAGACAATAAAAATCTCTGCCTTCATGGGGCAGACATTTAGTGGGGAGAGAGATAATAAATAATCATAATAATTATATGTCAAGTGGTTTTAAGTTGCTATCAAGAAAAATAAAACAGAGTTAGGCTGAGAGAGTGACTGGGGAGTATTTATTTCTGTAAAGGGCCACAGAGTACTCTCTGAGAAGGAGCTGAGGGGGAGGCCATGAGGTTCTCTGGGGACAGGTGCTCCAGACAGAGGGAGCAGCCAGTGCAAAGGCCCCGAGGTGACACGTGGCCTGGTAGGGCACCCGCAGGGCTGGAGAAAATGAGTAAGGAGAGAGTGAGGAGGTGAAGTTAGAGAGGTGATGGGAGCCGGACTGTTGTCACATGAGGACTTTGGGTTTTGCTCTAAGTGCACCAAGGCTGAGACACAGATGTCCCTTCTCCCTGACCCTATCATTCACCAGTTTACTCCACAAACCCTTGTTGAGCTCCAACTTGCTCCCTGTCTGTCTCCTGCAGGTTCGAGTGAGGATGACCCCTTCTCCTATGGTAAGTTACCCTTGGAGGAAGTGGGAGTGGGGGAGGGGAGGGGTGAAGCTCCTCTCACCATACTCCTCCGCTTTTCTCTCTGCAGACGAAGTCACTCTCCGGAAACGGGGGCTGATAGTCGCAGCTGTGCTGTTCATCACAGGCATTGTCATCCTCACCAGTGAGAATGGGCATTGGGCGGGAGGGGCACTAAGAATGGGAGGGGGAAGGCCTTGGAGTAAACTCTGAGGTTGGGGGAGGGGGGTAGGTTCTTGAAGGCCTTTGGGCAAGGTGGTTTTAAATGAGGCATATCCCTAGCTTCATAGCCATACAAACCACCCCAGAATTCAGTGGCTTAAAATGGCAGCCATCTACTTAGTTCTCAATTGTGCAATCTGGAAATGTAGGCTGGGCTCAGCTGGGTGGTTGTTCTGGTCACAGCTGGATTTATTCATGCAATAAGGTCAACGGCAGGTTAACAGGAAGCTCTGCTTCTGTGGGCACTTTGGTTCTTCGCCTTGTGGTCTTTACCCTCCAGCATGCTGGCCTGGGCTTGTTTATGTGGTGGCAGCAGAGTAACGGGATCATGCAGCCTCTAGCACTAGTGACAGTGGGGAGCTGTGATCACATGGGCCTGAAAGAATGAGGGGAGATAATGGCTGTGCTGGGGCCTGGTGAGAGATGGAACTGTCAGAGAAGTTTGCAGGTACTGCATCATTGTAACTCAGCCAGGAGGGTGCAGGGGTGAAGGGAACCAGATGTATAAACCTCTCTCTCCCACTGCCCTCTTCTCTCTTGCCAAAGTTCAAGTAGAGGGCAAGGTGCTGGAGACTGGACTCTCAGGTCAACCTCCCAGGGCTTAGCATTGCACAGGAAAGCAGGCAGAGGGAGACTAACAGAGGAATTATTTTTTTAAAGTTTTTAAAATGCTGCAGATTTGGGGGAGGCAGACAGGGGGAGGGAATTTAAATCATTTCTTCAATTAAAAAAATTAATTAATCTAAAAAATGCTGCAGATTAAATAAAATATGAGGGCCACCAGTTTGCAAGCTTTCAGTTAAGCTATGTAATCTACACCAAGTTTCATTATCTCTCTTGTCCAACTTCTTCATCAGGGAAGTGGGCACAGCCACATCTTTTTAGTCTTAAGATGGGAGGCAGAACACTAACAGTAATAAAAAGAGATTGTTAACACATACCTGAATTGAATTGGGGATCAAGCAACATGTGTTTATTGATCCTGACTTTGTGCCTGGTCCTGTTCTCTCCTATGTAGGAAAAGGGAGGCTCAGAGAGTTGAGGGGTTTGCCCAAGGCCACACAGCACATAAGAATTGGAGACAGAACCTGAATGTTGGTTCTGGGTACATAAATTGCTCCAAAGACAAATATTTCTGGGCACCTACTCTGTGCCCAACCTGTGCTGTGATGCTGGTCCTGCCCTGGGGGAACTGACATCTGGTGGGGAGATGACAGCAAACAAGTAAATGCACTAATGAGCAGAGTGGATACAGAGAAAGATAATGACCATGAGGAAAATAAGGCCATACCACGTGACTGAGAGGAACAGGGAGAGGTGTTCCCTCTCAAGAGGTAAAATCGGAACTGATTCCTGAGGATGAGAACGATGATTTAAAAAACAAACAAACAAATAGAGGGAGGAGTAAGTGCAGAACCCTGGGCGCAGGAATGAGCTGATGTGGCAATAACTGCAAGAAGGGCCTAGAAGAGGCCAGGGAGCAGGGGAGGCAGAGATGGTGGCCAGGGGACAAGAGGGCTGATTTCAGAAGTCCCCTCTGTCTTCTAACCCTCCCTCCTCTAGTACATCCAGGTTGTTCTCTCTGCCTGGAATACCCTTCCTCCAGATCCAAGTGGCTCTCCCCTCACCTCCTTCAGGTCTTCTGCCTCCTTCCCGGCTTTCTTTTTCTTCACAGCACTCATAACCATCTGACTTATCACCATCCATACGCTTGACTTAGTTGGTTTTTTCATTGTTAGTCTCCCTCACTAGAAGGTCAGCTCTACTAGAGCAGGGATTTTAGTTGTTCTTGTTCACAGTGGTGTCCCCCGTGCCTAGATCAGTAACTGGCACCTAGTAGGTGCACATTAAACATTTGCTGAACAAAGGAATAACACACAAGGTGGGAGGGTTTTCAAAGGGCTCCTCTGTGTGTAGGGGAGGCTCCTCCCTTGGGCCCTACATCAGCTCTTCTGCTGTCTGCTTCTCATCACTTGCTCAGAGTTGCCTTGATGCTTCCCAAGGGGCACGGTTGATGGGCTTTTTCTTCCAGTATCCAGAGCACATGTAGAAATCAACATTGTTTTAACTCATGACTGGATCATTTCCTTCACCCACAGGTGGCAAGTGTAGACAGTTGCCCCGATTATGCCGGAATTATAACAGGTGAGCCCATTGGAAGTGGGGCCAATGACCTGATGACACCTGAGACTGAGCCTCCACTGGCTCATACCAGCCTCCTCCCTCCCCTTGCAGAGCCTACAGCATAATGAGTAAAGCCCAGCTTGAGAGGGAAGACACAGATGGAGCCAGAGCCAGAGCTGATGGCCTGAGCCCCCTACCTTCCCAACCCTCCCTGCCCTGAAGGCTACCTGGCTCCCCCCAGCACCATTCTGTTCAGATAAAAAGTAAAGCACTGTGGTCCTTGTCTCATGATCTCCGATCATTCATAACTGGGAGTGGAAGAAAGTGGCAGGGGCCGGAGAAGGTCCCCTTGAGGAGTAGAGTGAGGGGGTCATGCACTCACAAACAAAGGCAAGAATGAATGAAGCTGGCCTGGGGTAAAGCAGAAGGGATTAGCGAGCAGGCTGTGGGGACTCTAGCCATTGAGAGGGTCGGTGCTGGATTCTGCCCAGTGCCAGCTCACCCCTAACAGTGAAGGTAACGTTGGTAACTGGACAAGCACAGTGGAGATCCCGGGCCCACAGTGATCCTCTTTTCTTCGCACTCTGGGTCCCTCCTGCACTGCGAGGGGTCTCACACACATGAGTGTGGACACTCAGCTTGCACATCTAAGTGTCATCCATACTATCAACCCACAGATGACTGGCTCTGGGCTACCTCTTGATTTAAGGGAATACCCACCAAGAAGACCATAACGGCCCTGGAGTGGGCTCAGAGCAGTTTGGGTGGAGAATTCCAGGGTCTCCGATTCCCAGAACATGGTCAGAAATGGGCGCAGGCTCCAGTAGGCACTTCCTGAAGGCTCTTGGGTTCTGTGTCCATGAGTAGTTGCTCAGCCAGATGCTTCCAGTGTGGGCTCTCAAAGCACAGGCTTGGGGCAGAGGCCTCTGCCCAGGCTTAAGGGTCATCATGCCAAGGAAAGAGACAAGGTTCTATTGACAAGTGGTTGCATAACAATATTTCGCAAACTTCAGGTCACAGCCTCCTTATGGGTTATGAAATCAGTTTAGTGGGCTGTGAGTAGCATAGGAAAAAAAAAGGAAAAGTAGTAATAAAGTACAAAAGAATATTGGAGTGTATCACAGTATGACTCTCTATATTTTTTTTCTCAATTTTTGCCACATTTCATCCCACTTGTATTATTATTTACTTTTAAGAGATCCACTCTCTTTAAACTTAAACTTATTTTAAAAGACATAATCACATATGGAAACACAGTACTGCTTCATATAAATAGAAGATAGCCAGAAAGATAAATCCAATGAAAACAAATACATATGTTGGATGTGATATGCATTGTATATATGTGATATATATTCTGTATTATGTATATACATATATTGAGAATAATATACATATATTACATATCTGATATATCTTGTATGGGATATACATATTATACACATATAGGGAGGACATTAAAGATATTTTTTGATTGGCACCTACCACCTACTAATCAGAATAGATGCTTAACTGGGAAGGAATATCATTCATATACATATATATGTATATATACTTATACATGTATATTACATATGTGTACACACACATATGTTGACTCCCTTTTTAACATAAATAACATTTATTTTAAAGGCACAATCAGATATGGAAAACCAGTACTGCTTGATATAAATAGAAGATAGCCATAAAGATAAACCCAAAGAAAACAAACAGGCAAAGAGATTAATTGTATTCTAGCTGGATAATGAGTTGCTGACTGAAGGCACTGAGCCAGAGACCAGAGTCTACTCTGTTGGAGAAGGCCATAAAGTGTCTTCCCAAAGACACTGCAGAGCTTGGGAGGCCTGAGACCACCATCACTTCTGACACTAACTGCAAGTTTGTCCCCAAGACCACCCTCAGATTCAATAATTTGCTGGAAGTGCTCACAGAACTCACTGAAAGCTGTTATACTCATAGTTACAGTTCATTACAGTAAAATAAACCAAATTAGAATTAGCCAAGGAAAGAAATACATGCCGCAGAGTCCAAGAAAGTTCCAAGCATAGAGCTTCCAGCTGTCTTCTCCCAGTGGAGCCATGGATAATGCTACTTTCTGGCAACAATGTGCAACAACATGCATAAAGTATTGCCACCCACGGAAGATCCTGCAAGCCTTGGTGTCCAGAGCTTTTATTGGAGCTTGATCAGAAAGAAATGACTAACCACCCATGTAGTCACCTTAGTTTCTAGCTCCTCTGGAAGTTGAGCTGACACCTGTGGCCCAAAGACCCCACGATCAATTCCGTGGTTAGAAGCTATCTGGGGTGACCCAAGACCCCTGAGTAAACAAAGATGCTCTTTTCCAGGCAGGACACTCCAGGGGCTTACTTTCCAGGAGCTGAGAGCATAAGCCAGACCTCTTTCTGGGTAAGGTTAATTCTTTACTACACAGATCCTTCCTCCCTCATATCATTTGATGAATTAAAAGATATTCAGAAAGTGATTTACTCTTCTGTGATGGAATTGAAGGTGAGTTAAAATTATCTGGGGCCTAAAATCATCTCATGTGCCACCACTGGAGCACAGCCTGGGCTTGAGGATTCACCAGCTCAGGAGAATACCTGACAGCTTCCAGGGCAGATCAAGGGCAGTGCTGACCCACTGCGTGGATGAGTGGAGGATTGACAATCTACATCCATTCACCCCTCATTCCATCTTCCCATGGGGTAGAGATGAAAAAGCTAATACTATGTTTTCCAGATGCCCCAGGGATAGGGTTCTGGATGTGGATCAGCTCTGCTAATCAGAGGCCCTGCTATGATATTTGGAAGACCAAAAGAGAGACCATCTTTCTATCTAATTGGCTATTTTCTGCTGGCCAGTATAGTTGTGAAGGTGATGAGATTTTTGGCCACACCATTCCAATGTCCAGTCACTAACCTGTGGGCATTGAGATGCAGTTATGCACATACACACAAAAGATATCTAAATGGCCAATTAACACGTGAAGAAATGCTCAATATCATTGGTCATCAGTAAAAAGTAAATGAAAACCAGAATGTTAAACTATTTTACACAGAAAAGCTAATATTAAAAAGACTAACAATACCAAGTATTCAAGAGGATGTGGAGCAAGTAGAATTTTTATATATTGCTATATCTTGAAGTGTAAAATTGGTACAATCACTTTAGAAAACTATCAGTTTCTTTCCAAGGTAAATGTACACTGTACATACAACCCAACAATTCAATTCTTAGATATCTAGCCTAGAGAAAGAAAACCAGATGTCCACACAAAGATTTGTCCATGACTGTTTATAACAACAATATTTGTAAAATAGCAAAAAACCGGAAACGACCTAGAAGTCCACAGTATAGGTGAGCAGATACAAATTGTGGCATATGCGTGCAGTGGAATACTGCTCAGCAATAAAAAGGAGGGTCGACTGGTGCACACAACACATGGATGAATCGCAAAAGCATTATTCTGAGTAAAAGGAGCCAGATATGAAAGAACTCAGACTGTATAATTCCACTTAAATGAATTTCTGGAATAAGCAAAGCTAATTGACGATGATAGAAGTCAGAATAGTAGTTGCCTCGAATAATATAGGAAAGCGGCATGAAGACGACTCAAACTGAGTAAATATTAAACCAGGCTGCATTCAGAACCTGCTACGTGCTGTTAGACACTGGAACTTGGCTGATCGGCATAAGACTAGGCCAGACCACAGGGAACCTACAAGAAAATTACTGCTGAGATTGCTAACAAGTACTTCCCATGCTTTTAACGCTGCATACCCATCCCCTGAAAGGAAAACAGATTTAAACCCAGCTCCTGGAATACTCAAGGACTCATTCTCTGGCTTTGAGAGGAGACCACTCTCTTGTCTATGGAGCGTTATTGCTTCTCGAATAAACTTTCTTTTTTGTTTCTAACTCTGACTTGTTCTTGAATTCTTTTCTGCACGCAGTCAAGGATGCTCTCTCTTTGTAGGTGAAAGGCTTGAGTCCTCACTCGGAAAGATTTGCCCCATCCTGCATCACTACTACTATTATGTTGCCTCTACTGTGGGGGTTGGGGGTTGACTGAGAAGGAGCATGAAAGAATGTTCTCGAATGATTGAAATGTTCTGTATTCCGATAGTGGTGCAGATTACAGGAATGTATATATTGGTCAGAACTGACCAGAGTGTCATATACATTTAAGATCTGTGTACTTTACTATGTGTTAGCTATACCTCAATATAAAACACGACAAAATTGAAAACAAAAAAGCAGTTATGTTCTGGGTGGTGTCGACTTTCTGATCCTGGATCAAAGACAGAGCAACAGGATTCTGAAAGTGTCATGTACAATGGGACCTCCTAATTGGGGTGGAGGGAGAAACTCCCCAGGTGATTCAGTTTGGTCATTGTGAAATAATAAAAAATACATATATTTGTTTTTACACCCAGTTCCTGGCATGCAGTTCCTAAAACTCTGCAATTTCCTAAGTGATAAGAGCACTGGGAGCATCTTTTATTCTAATATTTGGTCTTTGACCTCAGTTCCTGATGCAGAGTTCTTAAATCCCTTGTAATTTCCTGGGTAATAGGCACATCTTTTGTTCTAATGAGGCAACGCTTAGTGGACTCCCAGCTGGGAGCTGATCACCAGAATGACTAAGCCATGATTAGAAGCTTAAAACTTTCAACCCCACTCCCTATCCTCCAATAAGGAGAGAGGGGCTAGAAATTGAGTTAATCCTTAGCATGTGGCTCCAATCCTCAGGGTCACAAAGTGACTGCAGGAGCCTCAGCCATCATGCCACCTTTCAGGAAAAAAAGAAAGAGGAAAATAAAAAGTTGGGGGAAATGCACCACTAGGTGACTCATCCCCTTTTAAAGAGTTTCCAGAATCCCCTCCCAAAGATTTCTATTTGCATCTGATTGGCCACCTCTATCTGCAAAAAGAAACTGGGAAATGTAGTCTTTAGCTGAGTTCAGGATATCCCGAATACCATCAGGGAAAACAATAGTCCTGAAGAATTTGTTGATCTGCTGAGGAGGATGCTGAGTTTCTCCCAAGTCAAGGGATCAGGGCTTAAGCTATTTTTATTTAAACATGGAAGGAAAAGATAATTCTTAAGAATTGAGTCTGTTGAGACCTCCAGACGACAGAACACTGAATTTGAGACTTGGAAAAAACATCTAGAATTCTCTCTAATAGTGCCTCAATGCTCCCCAAAGGCTGTCATCTGCTGTTCAAACCCCTTCTGGCATAAGACACCTTTTTCTGTTGCATAGTGTCTGAAATGAAGCCTCTGCATTTACCCTTATATCAAGGGAGAGATTCCTTGCCAAGAGCTAATGGAATGGCTCCTGTAATGCAGCCAGGCTTCCAAGTACAATACTGACAATTTCTTATTCTGGAAAAATTAAGGCCAAATCACATTAACTGGAATCTGATTTCTTCACATGAAGCAAGATTGTTTTTTTCTTGGGGTGTTGGGAGAGTCTGTCACTGCTTGCTTCGGTGAGGTACGTTTGCTGCTAATTGGTGAGGCTGGTGAGTTAATGGGCTCCAGCTCCTGCTAGTGAGACATTAAACAGGATTTGAAACATCCTCTGAATTGACTTTGCAATATGTCCACTTATCTAGGTTAAACTTCATTTCCCAGAACTTTCCTTCTTGCTAATGGTTAGGGAAGGCCGTAAGAGCTCTTTGTGGAGGAATTGCTGGGTAGAAGTTGAAGCAGCAGCATTTTGTTGCTTACAAGGAAGGCAACAACTCAGCCTACAACTGCTCTACCTCCCCCTGGATCCTCCTTCAGCTTCTCCAACTCCTGGACCAGGGGTGTGCTTAGCCCCGTGATGAAGAGCCCTGGCTTCAGCAAGACACCTGCACTACCAAGGTCAGAGACCACAAAAATAACATGGAATTCAGTCCATCTTCGTGGACACCAGTTTGTGCTTGTGCGTTCCAGATTGTTTTTGCTCTCCCAGCCTTACATCCATCTTCCCTTCCTGACTGCCTACTCCATGGACTGTAAGTTCCAGCCTCAAGCACAGAGATAACAGCCTTACAGAAACAGCTTAACTAGCTCCCACAATTGTGAAAGGTAAAATTCCTGGTGTGTGTGTGTGTGTGCATGCGTGTGTGTGCGCGCGCATTAGTGGTTCTCCTTCACGGACACAGAATTTGGTCTCAGAATGGTTCAGAAAAAAAGAATCTTAGAGATGAGTTCTAGGTTTTTCTGGAATAGGTTCTCTGATATAACTAGATTTATAGTCATTAATGATCCTGTTTCTAGTGGTTAAGGGGGCACTGATAGGTTCATGGCATGAAGTGGCAAAACAGTTACTCAGATCATTACCAGTAGCTTCCTGTAGCAGGTTCTTATAGAAGACAAGGCTCTGATGACCAAGTATTTGCTTCCATAGAACATTTCAGTTAAAATAAAGAGTGTAATTGGGTTGGTTGGTTGGTTGTTTCTGTGATGGAAAAGTTGGGGCGGGAGGAAATGATGAGCTCAGAGCTTTAAATTACCAGCTCAAGATCTGTATAAGAAACTTGAAAGCTGCTATGTCTGTGCTGAAAGGAACTTATTTTCCATAGCCTTGAGCCTGAGTTCTGCAAACCAAACTCAAAGTCAGATCCTGTGGGTGGCTGGATTACAACACAAATGAAACTTCTAACCTCACAGGGTCTCTTTTGTTAAACTTAGAGTGTTGATTGGGAAGAAATAGGATCCTAAAAATTGCGATGGGGACATATGAGCAGATTCTAATAAGGCTGAGGACCTAAAACCCCTAAATTCTACTGAGTCTTCTTTGCCCATAAAAGCAGCCTACACCCCTGTCTGCAGAGGTTAGTCTGCTATTGTCTAAAGAAACTGTAATGGCCTTCCCTAAGGCAGTTGTCTGACAAGTCCTGGCTGATCCTTAGGACCTACTCCTATCACTTTTTCTTGCTTCTAAGACCTATAACTAGACTCAAGTCTCAACAGAATCCAAAAGTGAGGTTCAAAATATGACCCACAAGGAGGTGCAATATGACACCAAAACAATTGCCAACTTCTGTTTGCCAGTTATATCAACATAAAACTGGAAAATATATGTGGAAATGGATCTTAAGTGTATGGAATCAAGGTAGAAGAATATAAAGTTGGATCAGGACAAATTTATTGATATCGGCCCACTAAGCAGAGATTTTGGATTCACTGTATGAGCTTGACAGGCTAAAATGGCTCTGATAATTTGCTTGGTTGGTTGACTGATATATGGACCCAAAGGCGGCCTATATGAGGTTGAGATGTCAGAAGGTCCCTTGTATATTGTAGAGCACGAGTCAGCAAATTTTTTAAATAAAACGCCAGAGAGTAAAGGTCTTAGGTTTTACAGGCCAGTGTCAGTTACAACAATTTAACTTTCCCACTGTAGCAGAAAATCAGCCAAAGACGGTTTATAAATGAATGAACATGGCTGTGTTCCAATAAAAGTTTGTGAAGACTGAAATTTGAATTTCAAATCATTTTTATATGTCATAAATATTATTATTCTTTTGATTTTATTTTAATTCAAAATGTAAAAACCACTTTAGCCTATGGGCCATACAAAAACAGCCTGTGGGCTACATTTGGCCCTTGGGAGGTAATGTACTGACCCCTGCTATAGAGGAAACTCTTTAAAGGCTTAGGACCTGGAGGACACTATGCTAAATAAAGTAAACCAGACAAAAAGAAAGAAATATTGCATGATATCACTTATAAGTGGAATCTCAAAAAGTCACACTCATAAAAACAGAGAATAGGTGGTGGTTGCTAAGGGTTTGGAGGGTGGAAGAAATGAGGAGATGTTGGTCAAAGGGCATAAATTTTCAATTATATAAGATAAATAAGTTCTGGAGATGTAACGTACAGTATAGTAACTATAGTTAATAATACTGTATTTATTACCATAATACTGAAATTTGCTGAGAGTAGATGTTAAGTGTTTTCACCACAGCAGGGGAAAAGAGTAATTATGTGAAGTGATGGAAGTGTTAATTAGCTTGATTCTGGTAATCATTTCACAGTGTATGCATATACCAAAACATCATATTGTACATATTAATTCTATATAATTTTTATTTGTCAATATATCTCAATAAAACTGGAAGAAAACTCACACAGGCTTAGGGAGATTGGACTGCTGAGTAGCTTTGTCTCTTAAGACTTGCTTATTCACATACACTGGGAGGGTCAAGGGATGCAATGATATCGCTATCTTTAGCTAGCATGTAGCTATCAGAAATAAATTCATGAGGGGGAGTCTTGCATCCTTTAAGACCTCTGTGGTGGCTCTTTTTTGTAGTTCAGAAATTCTAGTGGAATTGGCTACCTTTGAATGGGGATCTCTAAATGCAATAGGTATGATGGGACCCAGGGGTGGTAGGGAGCTGGTGGCACTTATGTGACAAATATAAGGTGGATATGGTTACTACAGTAGCTAATGAAGCTAAAACAGTAATAAGAATAGTCTGACTCCCAGAGATCTTTGGCATTCACTAATTTATCATGGTATCTCCTAGAAATGAAATAAGTAGAGAGCCTACTAAAGTCTTGCTTGATTTGAAAAAGTGAATAAGTTCTGGGCCTAGCAAATGGGATTCTGACCTGAAAGACCAAAGTAGAGATTATGGCCCCTCAATTACTTCCCTCAGTTGAGCCCTTGATCAAGGAGAGGCCAGATTCTTTTGAGGTTCCTTTGATCTTGTTACACTGCCAAAAAATGTATGCTGTTAATCTTTTTCCTAGACTTCTCCAAAAAGATATGTAGCCATTTGCCAGGTGACTATGCACTGGGGAAAGGGAAATAATTAGATTTTTCAAGGATTACTGGACACTGGGCCTAAACAGACTCTAATTTCTGGAATTCTAAAATGTCACTGTGGTTTACCAGTCAGAGAAGAAGTAT